TCTATTTGTCACTCAGGCTGTAGTGCAGTTGCCGCTGGGCTTAGGGGATCCTTCGTCTCAGCCTGCCAAGTAGCTGGAACCACCACACCTGGCTAAATTTTTTATTTATTGCAAGAGACGAGGTCTTGCCAAGTTGCCCAGGCTGATCTTGAACCCCGGACTCAGGTAGTTCAATCTCGCCTCTGCTTCCCAGAGTGCTGGGATTACAGGTGTGAGCCACCCCATCTGGCGAATCTTTTTACTTCCTAAAGAGGATGTTTTAATAATGTACAGTGAGATTATTGAATTAAATAGAAGCTAGTCTTAATATATATTATAGATTAAATTTGCTTCCAGTTTCTCATTTTCATCTCTTTGTTTTTCAAATAAGTTATTCTATAGCACTTTTCTAGGAATAGAAGTGGTAACTTTTAACTTGCTGCGTTGGTTATTATGTGAAAAATGCAACTAGGAGATGTGATTTGTTTGGTCTGCTCAAACTATTTCTGGGATTGTCCCCATACTCGTGCTTACTTGAGGGTACCCTTAAAAATATTGAAGTCATTTTATTTAAAAAGCAACTTATGTTTGAGTATTGAAAGTTTACTGTGAATATCTAAGGCAGGTTCATTATTAAACTGCAGCCAGATGGTTAATGACACAAAAACGTATTACTGGGTGGATAGTTTTCTTTTAATAGTGCAAAACCAGTTAAATAACTTAAACTCTGGGTAGAGGAAAACTACCTAAACATTGTGGCCAGCCACATCTGCATCTTTCTCTGACCATGGTGAAGGACATTCTGAACATTACCACTTAAAACTAACTTTTCTCTTTAAGGGTTCCTGAAATTGTGCCAGCTGACTCCAGGTCCACCCTGACCCCACAGCATAAACCATGCTGTGATGTCACAGCTACCATAGAACTCCAGGGTAGTGTTGGGCTGGCCCATGTGGGCTCAGGTAAGTCCTGGCTTTTTTTTTACCATTTGGCATTCTTTTCAAAGTTAGTTACCATTTCAATTTTATGTCATAAAGGAAAATAAGGCAAAACTTTGAAAATTGTGCCATATATGGGGGAAAAAATAAGTCTGTTTTCTAAATATCTATGAGCCAGCTCCAAATTCTAACCAACGGAGTTCCATAGTAGCTGTGAAGTCCCCAAGTTACATTAAGGTCTACTTCTGGCCCAGCTTATAGAGCTTTTAAGTTTTTAGCTAGTAATATATAATACACTAGCCTTCATTTACTGTTAGGTCGTCATGTTTTGGAAAAGTATGTTAACACTTTCCTTTATGTGTAATAGTATATCACTAGCCATTTCATTCACTCACTTTGGAATGTTAATTAAGTTTTATTAAGCTAATCTCAGAGCGTCTTCAACTGTCCTTTTATTTGCCTTCATAGCACAAAGGAGGAAGAGACAGAATGTGTAATATATGTTTGCTAAAATTTCAAAAAAAGTATTAAGAGAAAGGTGCTTCCAGTTACTCTTGGAGGCATTGTGAGGTGTCTGCAACCTAGAAAGAATGTATAGATTATCTCTTTATCTTCTCTTGGAACTGTTGAGTTTTTTTCCTGGCCTTCTATAAAGTCAGGGTTTTAGCACTTACATTTTTTTGTTGTCTTCCTGCCTACCAACTTCTGCCTTCTTCCTACTTTCCTTTTATCCCCTGATAACAAAAGGTGTTCAAATGCAATCCTATGTAAAGAACTCGGAGATTTTGTTTGTTTCTTCATATACTGTATTGCTTTTCCCCCTTCCCTAAGTAGAAAACATGTGATGGCTAAAACTTTAAATTATATGAGTTTGGGCCAAATCCTATTAAACACCATGTCTACAGCAAAAACCCATCTATGAATGCTCTGTCTAAACTTTGTCAGTAGATCTCTGAGCAGTGTGTAATAAAGACACAACAAAAATTTGCACAGTTAGTTCAGTAGCATTCTCATGAAATTTGATTTTTATAAACTTACTAATCTTTGTAGCTGAAAATCTACCACTCACTGAAACTGATGTATTAATTATGGTTAATGAAAAGAATGGAATTAAATATTCCCCAAACGTTGGACAAAAAGATGCTTTTCTTTTATATACTATTTTGTGCCTATACTTAAAAAGGTGTTTTTCATGCTTGGGAAGTTTGAAGAATTCAGTGCTGTCAGGAACCAAGAGCAGAGTTTGTGTTTCTCCTCATCTGTCTTCTATCTGTCTTCTGTATGACCCCCATGCTGGGAATGGTCAGCATGCCCTATCTGCAGTTTAATGCAGAGCACAGGGTAGGAAGGGGCCATTATGTGTTTTTTATATTTTGGATTAGGCCAAATAGAAATCCTGGTTGTATGTGTTTGTATCAGCTTTCTCGAGGTATAGTTCACATTCCATGCAATTGAAGCCCTGGTTATATTTTTAAGTAGCACTTAACATGAAGGCAGAGCTGTAAATCATAGTTCCAAAGCAGTTTGCTAACTGTTATGCTGTTTGGTCTGTGTTCCTCTCCTACCCCCATTGTGCTAATTAACTTGTAATTACAGAAATTCTTCAGAAGCATTAGAGGGACATCTTAAGAATTTCTAGAATGAGATTCTTCTAGACTTATGCTGTATGGCGAGTTAGTTAAAAATGATAAAGACAGTGATTTGAGCATCTCCCTTCTTCCAAGCGAAAGGTGTTTAGCTTTTGATGACCTCATCTTTGTCTTTGGGAAATAAAAAAATACATGAATCTCTACAAACACATACATACCTGGATAGGCATACATACACATATACTGTGCAGCTCTTCCTCTTTGTCTTTCCAGGTAAGTTGATCAGCCTCTTGGGTTGCTTTTGGAAGTGCTTGGAACATTTCTATGGGTAATACAAAGATATTTTATACATAGATCTATTTTTAGAGAAAAGCTAAAAACTATAGAAGGTGCGGTGATGCTGCATGTGCTTGGACTGGAAATAGTTAACAGTTTTTCACAGCACTGAAGGGAAAATTCATCGTCTTCTTTCAGAAATACTATAGAAACAAAAGGAGATGGAGTGAGCATGCTCAGTTCTAATAAAATAAACTCACAGTAAATTATTCAAAAAGTTAGTGGTCCCTATCAGATAATACTTAATTGTTCATTAAGTGAAGAATAAGTTTTAGAGTTCTTTATGTACTTGAATATAATAATTAGTAATAGAAACCATGGGTTTTTTTTGAGTTGGGGTTTTACTCTGTTGCCCAGACTAGAATGCAATGGCACAATCATGGCTTACTGCAGCCTTGAACTCCTGGGCTCCGGCGATCCTTCCGCCTCAGCCTTCCAAGTAGCCGGAATTACAGGCATGCACTACCACGCCCAGCTGATTTTTTGATTTATTATAGAGATGAAGTCTCGCTGCCCAGGCGGGTCTCGAACCCGCAGGCTCAGGCAATCATGGATTTGTTTTTAATTGAAGGAGCGGTTTCTTGTTAAGCCTTGGCCTTTTGGGAAGATTTATTGCCCTTGTCTAATGCCACCCTTGATTAAATTTTAGCCCTGACTTCTTTAGGGCACTGTCTTCATAAGAATGATTTGAAGCCATTTGTGTACAAGGGGTATGTGTGTACATAGTGGTAAATGTATCAACTCCATTCCTGTGAAAATAAAAATTCCTATAAAAAGACATTCTTTCTTAATATCATGAGTTTTTAACCTGGAAAATGTATCTTTGTGTTGAGGGCAGGGGTCTTTTATCTAGGGAGAGGATCTAGATTTGCTGAAAGGATATATGACTCAAGGGTTTGAAAACTTTTGAAGCTGGCGTTTTGTGGCTCCATGTTGTGATTTTAAAATGACCGTTTTGAATATGAGTCATGTTTTCACTGTCTCTGTACTTCTCATATTGCCTAGCATGGTGTTCTGTATGTCATGAGCATTCAGTAAATGTGAGAATAAAATGATCATTTTGATGTCTTGTTATCTTTAATAATGGTGTGAGAGTGTTGCATATACCAATCTGTTATATTCTAAGGACTATGTCTCTCTTAACTAATTTCTAATTCAGAATGGCAGTTGAAATGCTTTTTCAAAAGCACTTTAAGAATATTTTTAGCTAGTGTTGACATTTTACTCAACAAACAAATTTTTCTTGATGTAATTTGGGAAACACTTAAAATTATTTGGTCCTGCAATCTTGACTTTTTTTTTTTTACAGCACTACTTGCAAATTGGAAGCTAATCTACACGTTTGTTTTTTGCCAAGGCCGTTTATTATCCATACTGTACCATACTGCTTAGTAGATAGAATTGCTGTTTTTATTTAACATTAATTTGTGTTAGGGTTAATAAAATGGTTCAGTGGAAATGGAAAGTTCCTTACAGATTTGGGCAAAAGTGATACTTGTTTTGTTCCCCCACCCCCAACTGGTTTGCAATGTCTTATTTTAGCATATTTTATTTGAAATCATATGGTTCAGTTTTTGCTTTATTAGTAATTCTTAACAGATATAAGGAAGACTTAGCTGTTAGAGAATCTGAAATCAAAATATTGCCAACTTGTACTTACTATGAAAATGGTTTCCATTGCTCTGAGTTGTTTCAAAGCTAACTGCAGTATGGAAAGCTCAGCATTTGTTTTGATACTGCTTTAGAAAGGCAGAAAGGAGCTTACTGCCAACTGGAAGCATATCCCTGTCTTCTTGATTTCTGCAGAGTCAGGATGAATGCAGGACCAGAGCCGGGGGCTCAGTGTCTTCTGGGAAGTCTAGTTTCTCATACTAGGTTACCTATGTTCAATCCAATTAATAGTTCCTCTAAACTCCACCAGAGCATGGAGCCAACACTGATGGTAAGTGTCTAACTAGACAGTCCTAGCACTCGACAGACATTTTTAAAAGAGAGAAGAATAAACTAATTTTTCTTACATTCTTCAGGACACTTATATGCCCCAGGATCCAGGAAGCACAGAGAAATACTTAAAGAGTTTGGAGTGATTGCTACAGGTTTGTGCTTTTTGAAGGAAAAAAAACAATTAAATGCTTTTTTATCTTGATGCTTATTTTAGGGGTTGTAGAAGGTGATTTAGCTTCTATAGAAGCATATAAGTCATCAGGAGGAGATATTGCACGTCAGCTCACTGCAGATGAAGTACGCTTGCTGAACCGTCCTTCTGCCTTTGATGTCGGCTATACTCTTGTACACCTGGCTATACGTTTTCAGAGGCAAGATATGCTAGCAATATTGCTTACAGAGGTGAGTATGGCATTTTGGTTAAATGCTTTGTCTTTTTTTTTTGAGTTGGAGTCTCCCTCTGTTGCTAGGTTGGAGTGCAGTGGCACGCTCATGGCCACTGCAGCCTCAACCTGCTGGGCTCAGGCGATCCTTCTGCCTCTGTCTTCCAAGTAGCTGGAATTACAGGCACATGTCACCATGCTTGGTTAATTTTTTGATTTATTGTAGAGATGAGGTCTTGCCAAGTTGCCCAGACTGGTTTTAAACCTGTGGGCTCAGGCAGTCCTCTTACCTTGTCCTCCCAAAGTGCTGGTTTTATAGGCATGAGCCACCGTGCCAGGCCTAAATGCTCTTTTATATTAAGGAAATCTGTTCTTAAGTTCTCATTTTTGAGGTTTTCCTTTACCCCCTTTAAAACTCCCATTAAACTTGAGAGACTCCAACAGTATATAATCCCTTTGGGTATATGCTTTTATTTTTATTTTATTTTATTTTTTTGAGTTGGAGTCTCACTCTGTTGCCCAGACCTGGAGTACAGTGGCCGCTCCCGGCCACCGCAGCCTCGACCTGCTGGACTCCGGCGATCCTTCCGCCTCAGCCTTCCTAGCCGGAATTACAGGCATGCGCAACCACGCCTGGCTGATTTTTTGATTTATTGTAGAGATGAAGTCTCACTGCCCAGGCGGGTCTCGAACCCGCGGGCTCAGGCAGTCCACTCGCCTCAGCCTCCCAAAGGCGCGGGATTATAGGCTGAGCCACCGAGCCCGGCTGGGTATATGATTTAAATATTTGAAAACTTGCAACGGTATTTGAAACATGATGTTTCAGGTACTGTTGTATCCTAGATACATCTGGAATGTATCTGTCATTCAGTCATTCAACTGACAGATATTTATTGGGTATCTACTGTGTGCTAGACACTGTGCAGAGAAGGGATAGTATTGTGAAGACATGGGCTCTTCCTTCATTGAGTCTCCCAAAAAATAGAAAAATGAACAGGTAATTCTGTGCAGCATGTACCCTGATGGATATAAGTGCCAAATGCTGTGTTCCAGTGCTTGAGTTTTGAAGTGTCCTCCTTCTTATTTAGATCTGGTAATACTTTAGCTAATATCAGAAGGAGAAGTCGGAGTTAGCCACATGAAGTGGGTGAGGAAGAGAGGGCAGTTATGGAAAGCATTTATGCAGGTACCAGAGCATGTGCTATTTGTGATGAATGCAGTGACTTGCAAACAACTCAGTGTGACTGAGATGGTAAGTGGGAACAGAGAAAAGGGAAGTGTGAAAGTAAGTAGGGGTTGGATTATGAAGGATCTTTGGTGTCAAGAACTTTTTTTTTTTTTTTTTAAGCTGGGGTCTTGCTCTGTCGCCCAGGCTGGAGCACAGTGGCACAATTGTGACTCACCACAGCATTGAACTCCTGGGCTCAGGCGATCCTTCCACTTCAGCCTCCCAAGCAGCTGGGATTATGGGTGCACTCCATCACCCCTAGCTAATTGTTTTGGTTTTTTTGTGAAGTTGAGGTCTTGCTATGTTGCCTAGGCTGGTCTCGAACTCCTGGGCTCAAGTGATCCTCCTGCCTTGGCTTCCAGAAGTGCTGGGATTACAGATATGAACCACTGTTGCCAGCCAGTGTCATGGAATTTGATTATTTCGAGGGCACTGAAAGGTGTTTAGGTAGAGGAGCAGGGAAGTAAGAAGAGCAAGTTGTGTTTTAGCTGCTGTGCATTGGAGAGGGATGAGCTTAGTTAGGAGGGCATGGTAGTGGTGCTGGCAAGAACTCTGTCAGTAGGGTAGTAGCTATGGAAATAGGAAGATGGAGGCGGATTTGAGAGAGATTCTGGACATGTTGTCAGCCTGAAGAAGGAGATTGATGGCATGTGGAGAGATGTGGTAGAGATCCAAGTTGATTCTGAGATTTCTGGCTTCGATAACTATGTAACTGCTGCAAATGATAATTTTTGCAAGTGAATTATCCAGATGTGACTGTAAGTTCCAGATTATTTTTTTGATGATAAGAGAAATAGAATAAAAGTAGAGTCATTAATTGTGGATTCAGATTTTGTTAGTATACATCTTCTGTGTTATACTTATATATATTTGTTTATTCAAATTTGCCAGTATTTGGTGACCTTTATGTACAGGGCCGTATATGAGGATTAAAAAATGTAATAGTTAGATGAAAACATGATTGCAGTGGCTAACCATTGTGTCCAGTTGGGCAAGATTCCTGTGCAGCTGGAGTGGAAGACCTAAGAGAATGAAGACCATGGTGACAACAAAGGGCAGGCTTACTGAGGATAAGGAAGAAGGGCCCGCTTCAAGTAGAGGGATCCGCGTTCTAGAACATGGGAGAGAACTGTTGGAGGCAGTTTCTGTAGTGTCTGATGTCTGGCTGCACTTGTGTCCTGGTGCAGAGTTGTGCTGTATATCGGAGAGGCCATCAACGTGGAGTTGTAGTTGCTGGTGGCAGGAGACAGAATAAAGAAGACATGTGTGATAGCATTAAAGTCTTTAGGGGGATTCATAGGTTCCCCTCAGGCAAGTAGAGGACTATTAAGGGGTTCTGGAGGGGCTGTCATAAACCACTGATCTCATGAGAGCAGTCTAGGGACTAACAGTGGGGTGATAATAGCACATTAGTGTATTTATTGCTATGTCACAAATTTGCTGGAAATTTAGCAGCTTAAGCCAGGCTCATGCCTATAATCCTAGCACTTTGAGAGGCAGAAGTGAGAGGCTTGCCTGAGGCCAGAAGTTCGAGACCAGCCCGGGCAACTTGGCGAGACCTTGTCTCTACAATAGATCAAACACTTAGCCAGCCGTGGTGGTGTACGCCTGTGGTTCCAGCTACTTGGAAGGCTAAGGTGGAAAGATCTCCTGAGTCCAGCAGGTTGAGACTGCAGTGGCTGTGAGCGTGCCACTGCACTCCAACCTGGACAACAGAGTGAGACTTCTCAAAACAAACAGACAAAAAACAGCAAACGATATTTGTTATCTCACACAATTTGTGAGAACTTGGAATCCAGGAGCCTCTTAGTTGAATGGTTTTAGCTTAAGAGGTCATGAGGTTGCAGTTAAGCTGGCCAGGGTTATAGTTGTTAAATGGCTCCACTGGGGACTAAAGGATCTGTTCTCACGCTCACTCATGTGGCTGTTGGCAGGAGGCTTCAATTTCTTGCCACGTGGGTGCATCCACAAGACTGCACCTGACATGGTAGCTGGTTTCACCCAACAAGTGATCTGAGAGAGGGAGAGAGTGATGCTGTGTCTTTGATAAACAAATTGAGAAAGCACCTTCCAGTTTGCTGTGTTCTTTGGGACGTGTAGACTGGCCTTGGAACAATGTAAGAGAGGTGGAAGGGGGTCGTTTCGGGTAAAAAGCAAAACTGGTAACAGAGTTAGTCTCAGTGAGTAGGAACTCCAAAGGCCAGAATAAAGGAGTTAGCAGGAGACTGGAAGTGAAGGAGTCTGGAATAAATTTAGGCTAAGGTTCTTTAGCCACGTTAACTTTGGGAATGAGACTAGGAGAACATTGAATTTGGGGATATGTGTCTGGGGCAGGGATTTTCATTGGGTTTTATGTCATGGACCCTCTGTTGATCATTTGGTGGAATTTATGGACTACTCAAACTGTTGTTTATAAATGCATTAAAAAAAATAGAATTACAAGGGAAATCAGTTGTATTGAAACATAGTCACCAAAATACTAAGCCAAACTTGAAATATATAAGAAAATGCATTTTAATATCAGCAAAAAGTTAGTGAAAATGAAGGATTTAAATTTAATTGAAACAAAATTCTCATTCAAGTTCATGGGTCCTAAAGGTTAGAATGACTAGCCTAAGGAAATGATTGAGAGCCATAAGGTTGAAGAAGTGAGCAGATGAGAGGCAGATTTCAGGGGCATGTCCTTCTTAAGGATGGTGGTGGAAGGGGGAGACTTGGCCAGGTTTCTCTTGGAATATTTGTAGTAGTCAGGGCTCTGTCCAGGTGGTTTTTGGAAAATTCTTCCCGGCATTTGGGAGAGGAGCTGAGGGCTAGCAGATTTGGAATAAGTCATTTTTAAATTTACTTTTGAGATTCATTTTATCAGTGTTACTTGCGAAATAGTCAATTCTATCCCGAAAATATTTGATATTTGGTTTTGTATATTGAGAGTTTTCATGTTTACTGGTGATCCTGGCCAGTGAAATCTAGTAGAAGTGAATTTTTTGCAGGAGTTTCCAAAATGGAGAGTCAGTTGTGTATGCAAGAGTTTTTGAACTACTGCTCCTTTATCTTACTAGCAGTTGCAATCAAGATGTCCACGTATAGTATGTAGAGGACACTACCAGTAAGCCTTCTTCTTCAAGTGGCTTACTGGAAGAACTGCTGCTTCAGACCCCACAGGTGACTGGTAGGCTGCTTTTGGGAAGGTTGTCCAGATTGGCGACATCAGAGAACAGAGCTCACTGGCTCACTCGATTAGCGCCACACTCTCTTCCTGGCTAGGGGATTCTCACCTTTGGTTTCAGAATTTTGTGTATGTACCTTTTTTGAGCCCCACCAACTGACTATGGCTGAATTGTAAAGTTAAATCTTTCCACCGTTGTTTGCTGTTAAGCATTTAAGAAGATTTGTGGTTTGTTGTATTTCCTCGCTCAGGGGCCTCTGCAGTAGTGCTCACTGCAACAGTGCTCACACCTCCCTCCTTTCAGGCTGGACTTCAGAGGCTGGCAGTCTGTGTTTAAACTTGGAGATGCCAAATGCTTCTTAAAAAATTCAGAATGGTAACAAATGGAGAGTGTGAAGGGTTTTGAGGTCAGTGGGAACTAACCCTTTAAATATCACACTTTTCGTTTTTCCAAGTCAGGCTACTTGAAATGTGTGGGAGACGACTGGAGTTTTCCCTGTGAGCTGTAGCTCCTTGTTTTTAAAGGATGGTTTTATTGGGTGTATGGTGTCTGTCGAGTCTGTTTAAGTTTAGGTTTTTTGTCCTCCATTCCTTCCTGTGGTGTACCTTTATGAACGGCACCCTTTTACAGAAATGTTTATGTACATCTTTGAGTATTTCATTGAAACAGATTACCGAATCAGGGCAAAACATTTTAGAGCTGTTTTTCTGAAAAGTTGTACGGATATATGCTTTCATTAGTAAGGAATTAATACCCAATACGTTTTAAGATTAAAGTAGTAACCTTGAGTTATGTATTACTGTTTCTGCTTCCGTTTGTGAGATGAGAAGAAAGTTTCTTTGCATTTTAGGTGTCTCAGCAAGCAGCAAAGTGTATTCCGGCAATGGTGTGTCCTGAACTGACAGAACAAATCCGGAGAGAAATAGCTGCCTCTCTTCATCAGAGAAAGGGGGATTTTGCTTGCTATTTTCTAACTGACCTTGTAACATTTACATTGCCAGCAGGTAACTCCAAAATCTAATGTGAAAACAAATTTTCATTTTATTATAGTTACTGTTGTATGTATGGGTGAAGCATGTTTTTGTTAGAGAGCAGATAACTTAGCTTCTGTATGCAAGTCTGACACTATCCTGTGTATGCTGAAAGTGACCAGTACAAGGACTACTTGTAAATGAATGATTGCATTATCTGAGAGGAATCCAGTGGCTGATAATAGCTGATTTCTTTTTGGGCTTTAGATTTTAAAAATCCGTTTTGCCCATTTATTTTTCTTTTGTATTATTTTAGAATTTTCCTTTTAAAGTCTCCTTTTAAAAAATTATATTGCCTTTTCATGTTTTTATGTTATTTTGAAATTAGATAGCTATTGGTACCTGGTATTAAGAGATAGGATAAGAACATGGATTGTTGATGGGCAGAGTCAGGTTATTTGAATTAAAGATACTGGCATTCTTTTTAATGTATCATTCCTTTTTTATTATATTTATTTCTACTATATTTGCGAAGCAACTTTTCATTTTTCAAATCATTGACAGTTGAAAATGTCTTCTAGAATGCTTTCTGTCAATTGGTATTGAGTAAGTACATCAAATGCCAAACGTTTCTAAAGAAAAACTTTCACCTGATATCTGAGTGTTTTAAATTTTTATATTCAGATGTAAATGGGGTATTTACAAATAACAAAAGATAATAACTAAGTCTTCTGAACTCAGAGCAAATTTTATTTGAAATATAGTCACTTTGTATATTTGAGCTTACTCCAAATGATTAGATTTTTATTTTGTATTGAAAATGGCCTTTTCTTAAATTATTTTTAAGGGTAATGCTTTTTACTCCAAGATACTCAATATATTAAGTAGTCTGAATAGAGCATAGAATATTTGAGGGTAATGACAAAAATACTTGTGTGCATGGTTCATTAACTTTTACAAGAAGATTCTCAAGTCTGAAAATAATAGAGCTGAGCACAAGTTACCAGCATGAGAAGGGAACAAACAAAAACTTGTATGTAGTTATTGGTCCAAATGTTATTTACATTATTTTAAAATAAATCAGTGTTTAGATAATGAATTACAGAGAATATTTTACGTCATGTGCACATGTTATACATGCATATTTAAAAAAAAAACTCTTGATAATCTTCAGTGGAAAGGAAGTTAGTTTAGAGGAAGTTATTATTAGATGCTGGTATTACATTTATCATATTATGAAACAAAAGGAGATCTTTTCAAGTCTGCTGTTTCTTTGTAGACATTGAAGACTTACCTCCAACAGTCCAAGAAAAACTATTTGATGAGGTGCTTGATAGAGATGTTCAGAAAGGTAAGAATGGGATTAATGAGCATAATTTACCTTTCACCTGATCAAGGTATGGAGAGATTTAACATATAGTCAACTTTTTTCATTTAAATTTAATTTTTTTTTAAGTTGGGGTCTCACTCTGTTGCCCAGGGTAGAGCACGGTGGCATGATCATGACTTCTTGCAGGCGAGCCTCCTGCCTCAGCCTCCGGAATATCCGGGACTGCAGGTGTATGCCACCACCCCTGGCTGAGTTTTTGGATTTTTTGTAGAGACGAGTTCTTGCTGTGTTGCACAGGCTGATCTTGAACTCCTGGGCTCAAGCAGTCCTTCTGCTTCGGCCTCCCACAGTGCTGGGATTATAGGCTTGAGCCACTGCACCCAGTCCGTTTTTATTTTAAAGATGTAAAGTCTTTTTTTTTTTTTTTTCTGAGTCGGAATCTCACTCTGTTGCCCAGGCTAGAGTGCGGTGGGACACTCATGGCCACCCCAGCGTCAACCTGCTGGGCTCCGGTGATCATTCTGCCTCAGCTTTCCAAGTAGCTGGAACTACAGGCGCGTGCTACCACGCCTGGCTAATTTTTAATTTTTACTGTAGAGACAAGGTCTTGACAAGTTGCCTGGACTGGTCTCAAACCCACGGGCTCAGGCAATCCACTCACCTCGGTCTCCCAAAGTGCTGGGATTATAGGCTGAGCCACCGAGCCCGATCACATGTGAAGTCTTTACGAGCAGTGTCATACTGTTAAAAATGCTCATTTCCAGGTCTTTACAATGATAGAGTGACTAAATGATGAAAAATACAAATGTTTTGAAACCTTGGTTCTCTAATTTCTGTTCTGGAATGCATATATTTCTATATTAAACATTTTTAGAATATAATAAAGAATTTAAAAGTTGAGTAAGTTATTCTAGAGCCATAAGATGTTTCAACTATTCAAAGAGTTGATATTTCACGTCATATTTATTAAGTAAATTACATATAAACCTTTTTCCATGTAGAAAATAGGTTCTTCCCCCTTGAAGTATTCTCTAATTTCATAGACATACAGATGAGCATGTTATTTAAATTCCTCTTACAGAATTAGAAGAAGAATCTCCAATTATTAACTGGTCCTTGGAATTGGCTACACGTTTGGACAGTCGACTATATGCACTTTGGAACCGGACTGCAGGAGACTGCTTGCTTGATTCAGTACTACAGGCTACCTGGGGCATTTATGACAAGGACTCAGTGCTTCGGAAGGCCCTGCATGACAGCCTGCATGACTGTTCACATTGGTAAACTGGCATCCTTCCTTCTCTGTTTTTTTTTTTATTTTTTGTGAGTCAAATGCTTGACGTTATTGGGTGGGGATTTTTAAAGAAATAAAATGTAAACCTTTTATAAAAATGTTAACATTATTAATACTTTAATATTTATTATTTACAAACTAAATATAATAATACATTTATAATTATTTTTCTTATGGTATACAATTGAAGAGCACAAATTCCTCATACACAAAGACATAAAATTCATTTTCTTGGAAACATCCTTCCCTGTTTCAATCCAGGAGTGCACTTGCTAGACATTTCCTTGTTGTGGTAGGATACTTTTCATCTCATCTGATATATTTTCTTTTTTCTTTTTTCGAGTCTGGGTCTCACTCTGTCTGGAGTGCAGTGGCATGATCGTGGCTCACTGCAGCCTCAACCTCCTGGGCTCAGCCTCCTGAGTAGTTGGGACTACAGTCATGCACCACCATGCCTGGCCAATTTTTTGAACATTTTTACAGAGACGAGGTATAGCGATGCTGCATAGGCCGGTCTTGAACTCCTGGGCTCAAGTGATTCTCCCACCTTGGCCTCCCAAGGTGTTGGAATTAAAGGCATTAGCTACTGCACTTGGCCTCAGTTATATTTTCTGTGGAAGCTAAATAAGACAACTTTTTGGTTTTGAACATGGTTTTTATACTTTTTTTTGCTAAACTTTAAACTAGAAACATTTGAAGCTTTTTTTTTGAGTTGGAGTCTCACTCTGTTGCCCATACTGGAGTGCAGTATAGTCTCATAGCCACCCAGCATCGCCCTGCTGGGCTCAGGTGATCCTTCCCCCTCAGCCTTTCAAGTAGCCGGAACTATAGGTGTGTGCTACCATGCCTGGCTAATTTTTTGATTTATTGTAGAGATGAAGTCTCGTCAAGTTGCCCAGGCTGTTCTCGAACCCGTGGGCTCAGGCAATCCCCTCACCTTGGCCTTCCAAAGTGCTGGGTTTACGGACTTGAGCCACTGCGCCTGACCCATTTGAATCTTTAAAATGGAAACATTTATTGTTTCTATGAGATAGAAACAATGTTTTGAACATTCCAAATACAGAATTTAAATTATAATAGGCTTAGGTATTAGTAAGGTCGTTGTTCATATTTTAAAGTAATTATTATTTAATGTTTTCAACTAAGACATGATAATTCACATTGTAGGACAAGTTTTTTTTTTTTCCCCTGGGGATGGGAGTCTTTTTTTTTTTTTTTTTTGAGTTAGGGTCTCACTCTGTCGCCCAAACTGGTTGCAGTGACTGCTCCCGGCCACCGCAGCCTTGACCTGCGGGGCTCCGGCGATCCTTCCGCCTCAGCCTTCCGAGTAGCCGGATTTACAGGCATGCGCTACCACGCCCGGCTGATTTTTTATTTATTGTAGAGATGAGGTCTTGCCAAGTTGCCCATGTGGGTCTCAAACCCGCGGGCTTGGGCAGTTCACTCACCTCGGCCTCCCAAAGGCACGGGATTACAGGCTGAGCCACCGAGCCTGGCTAGGTTGGGAGTCTTAAGATTTCATTTTTAATTTTTTTGGCCAATTTTCAAACCCAAAGAAAACTTAAGGAAGAAAAAAACAAAACGACAACAAAAAAAACCAGTGCAGTGGTTCTTGGTGTTTCCTTTGTTCAGTTGACCAACTGTTAACATTTTGCTACACCTGCTGCATCTTTTTTTTTTTTTTTTTGGTAGTTTTTTGCTCTGTTGCCCAGTCTGGAATACAGTGGTATAATCCCAGCTCACTGCAGCCCCAAACTCCTGGGCTCGAGTGATTCTCCTGCCCCAGCTTCCCAAGTAGCTAGGACTACAGGTGTGCATCACCACGCGTGACTAATTTGTTTATTTATTTTGTAGAGATAGGGCTTGCTATGTTGTCCAGGCCAGTCTTGAACTCCTGAGCTCAAGCAGTCCTACCTTGGCCTCCCAGAGCGCAGGGATTACGGGCATGAGCCACTGCACTCAGCCACCTGTTCTCTCTCTGCATACATAAACGCTCCCCTGGGCCAGTTGGTTTTAGCTATCATGATGCTTTACCCTTCAATATATCAATATTCATCTTTCCATAACAAGAATATTCTCCTACCCAGTCACATTCCCATTACTACAGGTGGGTCTTGCGGGTGTTGTCTTTTTCCTAGTAGTGAGTTTTTTAAATAACACATTTGTGACTAGTAACAATTGCTTTCAGGCTTGTGCTATCTTGATCTTCAAAGTTGACAGTGGCAGTAGGTTACCTTATGAGTCTGAGTTGCCATGGATGTATGTATCAAGACTAGAATTCTGAGGTGGTTATGAGGTATTTGGAGTCCCCACAGTGTAGCAAAGTAGGGAGAAGTAAGGTCTGAGGTAGTGAATGGGCTAGGTAGAGGGAATGACTGCTAGAGTGAGAGGGCACTAAGCTGTTTGCTTACAGCCACTAGTAAGAGTTGTTGCAGCAGAACTTTCAGATGATGTTTCAGGAGTGAGGACCTAGAGGTGGCATATGGTCGGGCATCCCAAAACAAAGTGTGCCTTGGCATTTGCCTCCTCCGATCCCTGCCACTGGGGATCTTTGCCTGATGTCTGACAGTTCAGGCATAGAAAGCAGCATTGATTACAGTGATAACACCCACGGGAGTCCTTATGGTGTTGTGAGGGTATGGTGAGGCTGACGATTATATAGTGGGTTGATAGTAAGTATTGTTGCCGTGGATTCCAGAGTTCAGTGGCATATGTCAGATATAATAGCCTTAATGAATAATCCTTACATTGCTACTGTATTGAGTTGTGGTTCATTTGCTCACTGGGCTTGTGTATAACTATCAGAGGGCAGAATGAGAGAGAGGGTGAGCAGTCTTTGATCCTCTCCTGGACCAGGAGAGGAGGAGCCAGCGCGCCATTTGTGTAGTCTCCTTTTTAAGCTGCTCTTTGATGAGTTGTGCTTTGTACATCATCCCCATCAACTGGGATGAGCTGTTTTAAGTCATGTAAAGTATCTAGTAAAAACTAGGAAAGCAGTTTTCTTTTAACCCCTTCACCCACTGCTTCAGGATAGGTGACTTATGTGTTTGTAGCTGTGCTATTCTGTTGGACGTCCACGATTGAGCTGACTTCCGTTTTCAAGTCTAAATATATTATCATTGTTATGTCCGTCCAGTTTTTCAAAGGGGCATGTGGGGACAATTAATGCGAATGGGAAAAATACATCAATCCAAGTCTTTCAGAATTACAACTTTTTTGTTATTATTTGGTAGGATTATCTGTAGCTTTGTATTGTAATTTTATTTTTCAGTGTAACCTGCTGAAAATGCTGTTTGTGTACAGACAGATAAAGAATACAGATTTAACCATGACCTCTTTAAATACATGTAGTTAATACCCAGCTACGACCCGGGTAGATATAATAAAATTGTTAAAAAGTAAGTTAACATATCTAAACAGTTTTTAAACCCGAATTTCAATTTATTCTTCTTTAGCACATTTATTACAGCATAATTTGTTTTACCATAAAAGGCATTTGCTTTAAGCATACAGTTCAGTGATTATTATTCAATTTACGGAATTGTGCAACAGAATTATAGAACATTTTCATCACCACAAAAATAAACCTTGTGTCTTTTTCCAGTGTTTTCCTCTTCCCATTACCCTCCATCCCCAGGCAACTACTCATCTTATCTTTGTCTGTATATTTGCCTTTTCTGAACATTTCATATAAATGGATTCATAAAAGATGTGGTATTTTTGTGACTGACTTCTTTCGCTTAGCATCATTTTTAATTGTAATGTGTCAATATGTATCAAGACTTTGTTCCTTTTGTAACTGATTAATATACCATTTTTCAGATATATGCCCCATTTTGTTGATGTATTCACCATTTGGTGAACATTGGGATGTTTCCACTTTTGGCTGCTGTAGATAATGCTAATGACAGTTCATGTATAAATCTCTGTGAGACAGTATGCTTTGCTTTCTCTTTTACTGACATATAGGAGAATTGCTGCTCATAGTAGATCTGTGCTTAACAGTTTAGGAAACTGCCAAACTATCTTCTGTGGTGTCCGTACCATTTCACATTCTTACCAGCAGTGTATGAAGATTCCATTTTCTTTATATTCTCACCACATTATTGTTTGCCTTTTTTATTATCGCCTTTCTTGTGCACATGAAGTTGTGTGAGTGTATTTTGAGATGACATCTCGCTATGTTGCCCAGGCTGAGCTTGAACTCCTTGGCCCAAGTGATCCTTCCACCTCAGCCTCTGAAGAAGCTGGGATTATAAGTACATGCCACCATACCAGGCTCTTGCGATTTTGACCTGCATTTCCCTAATAACTGATGATATTGAGCATCTTTTCATGTATTTATTGTCATATAACTTTGTAGGTGAGATGTCTTTTCACATCTTTTCCTCATTTTTACAGGGATTGTCTTATTGGTCTGCAGGCGTTCTTTCATGTGTGAGGTCCCTCATTGGATGTATGCTTTACAAGTAATTTCTTCCATTCTGTGGCTAGTCTTTTCATTTTAATAACTTTTTAAGTTAATTGAATTTTATTGTCTTTTGAAGTGCAAGAGTCTTTAATTTTATGAAGTTCAGTTTAGTAATGTTTTTCCTTTACCACACATGCTTTTGCTGTTGTATAAGAAATCTTTTTCTTAGCCTAAGGTCATAAGGATTTATTCCTATGTTTTCATCTAAGAATTTTATAGTTTTCACTTTTGTGTTTAGGTCTGTGATCGATTTTGAGCTAAAATTTAAGTTGTGAGGTGTACAGTTCTAAATTCATTTTTTTTTGGTATATAGATATCTAGTTGTCCCAGTACCATTTATTGAAAATACAGTTTTTCCTCATTCTGTTGCCTTGGCAATTTTGTTGGAAATTAATTTGACCATAAAACTAAGAATTTGTTTCTGGGTTCTCGTTATTTTCCCATTAATCTATAGATCTATCCTTATGTCAACACTGGATGGACTCTCTGGAGGTTTGTAGCTTTGTAATAAGTTTTGAAATCAGAGTGCAAGTCATCTGACCTTGTACTTCTTTTTAAAGATTGTTTTGGCTATTCTAAGTCCTTTGGATTTTCATATAACTTTTAGGGTCCAGCTTACCAATTTTTTGTAAAAAAGACAGCTAGGATTTTGATTGGGATTGCCTTGAATTAACAGAGTAATTGAGGGTGGTGGTATTGCCAGCTTGACAGTATTGAACATGGAATTGATTTTTGAATGTTAGACCAACCTGGTATTCCCCTGCCATTTGGTCATATGTTGCTGGTTTTGGTTTGCTTGTCTGTTCTTAATTAGATCCAGGTAGCTTCAGAGTTTAGGTCTTGGTGTGGTTTCGATAATAATTTTTTTTTTTTTTTGGATTTGGAGTCTCACTCTTGTCACCCAGCCACTGCAGCCCGACCTACTGGGCTCCAGTGATCCTTCTGCCTCAACCTTCCAAGTAGCTGGAACTACAGGCACGTGCTACCATGCTCGGCTAATTTTTGATTTATTGTAGAGATGAGGTCTCGTCAAGTTGCCCGGGTGGGTCTCGAACCCACGAGCTCAGGCAGTCTGCTCACCTCGGTCTCCCAAAGTGCTGGGATTACAGGCTGAGCTACCGAGCCCGGCCTCCATATTTACACTTTAAAACATTTGGAATTGTGATTAAAAAACCCTGTTACCTGGAACATGAAAACTGTTTTTTAATGACCTAAGAGCTAAACCTCTGGAACGTTATGTTTTAGTCCTTTTAGAAAATAAATGATATATTAACTTATTTTCTAAGGAACTTTCTTTAAATTACTGTAAAAAAAACCTTGCGATCCCAACACTTAACTTTTCTATGCTGGAACTCTCCAAACAGCAACAGATTGTTTGCTTGTCTTTTGTTTCTTTTATCTGGAATTCAAATGCATAAAAGAGAAATGCGATGTCATAAATAGGTTAAATGTCTGTCTTCACTTCAGAGGTCTTAGCTGGCTTGTTTTATAGGAGAGTGACCCACCATTTTGAGCATAATTATTTCTGAATTTAATTTTTATACTTGATGCAAAGAAAAATAATAGAGTTTGTTTTTAGTAAGTCAGTATTAAATATAAAAGAATTATGTTTGTAATTGCAATGCTTTTTTCTTCTTTTGGCTGATCAGGTGATGAGCAGGGAGAAATAATTTTATTCATAGAAATCTCAGGGAAGTGATCTTGATGCTCTTGTGAACACATAGGCTATTTCCCATCTGTTGTTTATATGTGATCAAACAGTGATAACAGTGATGGACAAATGTGGTTTTTGGAGTTTGTAAACCAGCAGTAGTCAAGAGTGATGAGTAACAGTTCTCGTCACTGGTGTCTGGAGTTTTATTAAAGTCTGAGGGGTGGCGGATCAAGTCCCGGCTGAAGATGTTAAAAAATGCCCGTGGGATGGAGGCATTTCTCCTTTGAAAAACTAATGAAATTATTCGTTATATATTTTTATTATTAAGATTAATAAACGATTACTCTTCACGTGAGCTGCTTAAAGACTTCCGCTAAATAAACGATTGGAACAGTAAATGTACTGTTCATAGAAGGTTTATTTTTTACTGTCTTGCTTTTTAGGTTTTATACACGCTGGAAAGATTGGGAATCGTGGTATTCTCAGAGCTTTGGTTTACATTTTTCCTTGAGAGAAGAACAGTGGCAAGAAGACTGGGCATTTATCCTCTCTCTTGCTAGTCAGGTAAGGATGCGTCAAGCCTCGTTGCTTCTATGAGAAAAATACGTCACATGGTCCAGTTTCCTCGAGCAAACGATGCTGGGGGCAGTGTGGTACCAAAAAAAGAGTGCTTGACTTGATGTCTGTTGACTTGGGTGCTCGTTGTGAGTGCTGCTTGTCAAATAGGTGACCATAGCAAGTCCTCACTGCAGAAGATGAAGAGTAGTGCGTTTCTGATATCAAATGAAACCTGTTGTGTTGGCGGCTCTACACACTTAGATCATCTTGAGGTTGCTCTTCGTCCCTTCAGGCATAGGCGCCTTTGTGCCTGTTCACCCTCCTCCGACTTAGTTCCTGTTCTGTGTCTGAAGTGGGGGCTTCCTCGGGATTACTGAGTTTGTACAGTGCACTTGCTTGCTGTTGCTGAGCTGTCAGGTCCCGAGGAGCCAGTCATCAGACTTCATAATGCTCGCCTGGGTGAGGCTGCATTGTGTGACGCAGGCAAAGGCAAAGGCAAAGGTGCAGACTTGCTCACTTTGAGCTAGCTACCTACCATCTGTAGGAATGTGTCCTACTTAATGTGGGAGTGAACTCTTCCAGTGCTTGCTAACACAGTCTTTTTATAAATGGTGCCTTCCTGTAACACAGAACTCTGTAGGGTTGTCCCTTAGGCTCCTGGTTTCATGCTGTATTTTGTGAAGCACCTTCAGTCTACCAAACTGTAAAGTTCAGATACATGCACAACCACCCTTTTTCTTTCCAGAAAGCACCATAGTTCCTTAGAAGGTTCAGAAAGAAATACCTTGTCTTTGGGCCATCTGGCGAGGATTCTCAGTGACTGCTTTACATCTGAGACATTTACCTCATGGCCATGTGCTATCAGAATCATTGCAGATAGACCCATGTGTTGTTAGTATTTATGAGTCAGGTGATACTGCTGGTTGAAGTTGTACGAAATGACAAAGCTTATCTTTTCATTTCAGGAGGACTTTGTTGTCGGTAGTATTTTTGCTGCTTTTCACAGGTAGTTTAACCAGAACGTGATTATATAAAACATCCTCAGCTATCTGAATCACTGGTTCCTGAGATTGGAAAGTTAGTAGTAAAGGTGAATAGCGAGGAGTTGTCTCAATATATTCATCACGTCTCTCTGGTATGTGAGTTTGAAGTGAATGAAGCTTGTGTATAGCTTTGTAGATTTCTTTCACAGCTTTATTAGACTTCACTATTCGAAGAGTCAAAAGGTTCTTTAACAGTATTTTTTTCTTAACGTGAACTGTGATGATATACTAAAAAAGGTAGTATTTACACGAGTTTTTAACGATAAATTGCCCTTCTTTTTTTTTGTTCTATACAGCCTGGAGCAAGCTTGGAACAGACACACATTTTTGTACTTGCACATATTCTTAGACGACCAATCATAGTTTATGGAGTAAAATATTATAAGAGTTTCCGGGGAGAAACCTTAGGATATACTCGGTTTCAAGGTAAGCCGTTAGCCAAGCATTTTACAAGTCTCTTATGTTGTAGTTTGCAGTCACATACTTAAGTTACTAACTGATGAGCAGGATCAGAGAGTGGCTCTTGGATGTCAGGCGAGAGTAGCGGATGGAGGAGTGTGGACCCGGGAAACGAGGGAGCTGGCTGTTGAGACTTGTGACCCTTGGGATTTTCTTCTCTCTTTTCAGGGGTTTATTTGCCTTTGTTGTGGGAACAGAGTTTTTGTTGGAAAAGTCCTATTGCTCTGGGCTATACAAGGGGCCACTTCTCTGCTTTGGTTGCCATGGAAAATGATGGCTATGGCAACCGAGGTGCTGGTGCTAACCTGAACACCGATGATGATGTCACCATCACGTTTTTGCCTCTGGTTGACAGTGAAAGGAAGCTCCTCCACGTGCACTTCCTTTCTGCTCAGGAGGTAGGCAACATGTTTCTCTTGTGAACTTCTTACAGCGGGAGTAACCGGGACCTAGCCTGAGGGGCCTTCCGGGTGTGGCTTTATCTGCACTACCAGTTAAATTTCCTTAAATACCAGTTCTCCTTTGAAATTGACTTTTTCCAAACTGCTGTTTGGGGACCACCAAGGAACTAAAGGTGAAGTCCCTGGGGAAAAGGGTGTTGTGGTAGAAAGATGGCAGTAAGGGCAGAAGAGAAGCCAGTCTTGATCTGAGGGAAGAGTGTTTTAAGACTTGAAAGCCCAGTTGTGGGGTAAGGGGGGTCAGCGGTGATAAGGGTGGGGGCAGAATACATCAAAGGCCTCTTAAAGCTTTGGCTTTTACCAGATGGGCTGAGGCTTGCTCATGCAGCGGTAGCGGTGGGGCCACCAGGTGAAGCTGCTGCAGACGCACGGGAGTGGCGGTGGTGTGGCCAGGCAAGGGGAGGCGGGAAGAATGCTGGAAAGAATGCTCTCTCGGAATGCCCACGCTCTGGTAAAAGTATCAGTCTTTTATTTAACGGACTAGCGATTATCATGAAATGTTTATAATCACATTAAGAGAAGAAATTTAATGGACCACAAGTTGTATGACTTCAGGCTGTACATAATTTGCTGAGTAAACTGACCTTGTTATGTGCTTGAAACGGACTGACTTTTTCTGGCGTTTTCTTGGCCAGGATTAGTTTTATTAGAACATTTGCTTTTTGCTGTTGTATCAAGCAGATGACCCTAGGGGGCGCTTCCCTTTAGTTTTTTTTCCTGAGAATTTTCCTATTGGTGTCTTTTAAAATTTAACCAAACTGGGGTTTAATGATAAAACTGTAAGAGGTTGAAAGCGTGTCTGAAGTTTGTTGCCTTGGCCTTTATCGCCATCATCTCAGCTGAAGGTTTCTCTGTGAAATTCCTGTTCCGTTGCTGATCTCTTGTGTTATTTCCCCTTTTCTCCGCACGCCTCTAAAAGCTAGGTAACGAGGAACAGCAAGAAAGACTGCTCAGGGAGTGGCTGGACTGCTGTGTGACCGAAGGGGGCGTTCTGGTTGCCATGCAGAAAAGCTCTCGGCGGCGAAATCACCCCCTGGTCACGCAGATGGTAGAAAAATGGCTTGACCGCTACCGACAGATCCGGCCCTGCACATCCCTGTCCGATGGAGAGGAGGATGAAGATGATGAGGATGAATGAGAAAGACCAAACAACAGAATACCAAGGCATCAGATCTGTTATGGCCCCAGTTGGTGTGGCGCTGCACGCAGAGTATGCAGTATGGCATGAACCAAGCCTGGTGGAATCTGCTCAGCAGTGTTTTTCTGCTCCACACCCGAAGGAGAGAACGCACTTGCTGTGTGAGGAGACAGAACTTTGGTTGGACTAGTTTGTAAAAAACTAATTTTATTAAGACAACTTTTTTCCTTTAAAATTGTAAATCTGTCTATAAATGTAACGCATGTGGTTGTGTAAGAAATTGTGTAATAGGAGAAGTTGTACCAGCATCTTCACATTATTGAGATTTTTTTTCCCAGCATGGGCACTTACAAAAGCACATGGCAGACGACTCTTTGTTCCTTTGAGATATTCTTTTTATAGTAGAACCTGGCATTCTACTTCACCTTAAAAGAGCCATTTAAGTCTCAGAGATCTGGAAACTTTTTGTACAAATTTCCCACAGCAAAACATGAAAATAAACAAGCTTTTATTTTATTATTAATCTAGTTACTGTTGTGCCCGATAAAATAAAATCAAATCTTTTAGGAACAAACTACAAGAAAAGCTAAGAATTTTTTTGAGTAAACTCATATAGACGTTTTCTTGTTTTGAAGAGGGTTTTGGTTCCTATTATTTTGTCTTTTAAAAAAGTTTTCTGATATGCCCCTTTCTAGTACTTATGTATTTATTTGTTTGGAAGAGTGTCCTAAAATGAAGGTTCTTATTCCAGACTCTGGGCAGTGGTCTGTTTGAGTAGTTGTTCCCTTGATGGAAAGGGAACAAACAAGCCCACTTGCCACTAGATGGATTGTGTGAAATTTGCTTGGACTCCTTCAACAATGTTCTCCCAAATTGCCATGCAGAGGGTCTTGGATTCTTCCTGTCTTTTATCATCACCTCTGCTCCTAAGCAAATTTTGTTAGAAAGGGCATGCCTTTGCTTAGGGAGATTGGGAATACCAATTCCGTACAGAATAAAAATTTTAAAAACGCAGTAAGGTGGTAAATGCATTGTATGATGAATTTCTCAGTGTATAGTCTGAGAATCTTTGCATGTTGGTTGATTGTGGCCATTCTTAAAGTTAAAACCATAATCTTAGGTAGAAGAATTTTTTATAAAAGTGTTATTTGACCACTTCAGGTATACATTCAATACTGGGTAAAAATTTCAGATCTCAGGAACACAGAAAGACTTAGTGTCCTGAAAGCACTTTCTAGGCTATGGATGTGGCAAGGAATTTGGAAAGAAGTTACACACACACACACACACACACACACACACTTTGTTCCTCCCCTGTGATAAAAAGGCTGTGAAAACCTTCAAGTATTTGCTTTTTGATTTGTTCAGTTGGTATTGAAATGTGCACAACCTTAAATTTGGCGCCAGAATACTAAAAAATAGAAAAATACCCATGAGCTGTCATGTCTATAGTTCTTTTCCCTACCCGAAAATTCAGTAAAAGGTGTTCCCAGGATGAAAGGATCATTTGTGCTACATGCTGACACTTGTAGGAAATTATTTTTGCAGGATTCTGTATAGATGAATTTTGATTTAATGATAAATGTTACTGTTCCAAGTGGTTAACGTTTTCTTACAGATTGACTATATGGTTTGCTTTTGTTTTGGTCAATAATAGTTAATAACCAACTTTTTAGGAATTAGTGGCATCCTGACCACCTAGCATCTATAGCAGCCTTTCTCCATGTTTGAGGGTAGGTAATTCTTTAGCGGGCAGTGATCCTGTTCTAGTTGTCCGTTAAGCAGAAACTGCCCTCCCAATCGAAGAAGCCAAAGAGGAATGTGAGCAAAAAGCATCTAGTCTGGGTCTACGTTGCAGCCACCTTGTCTCGAGAATTACAAGCTCAGTACTTCACTTCTACCTGTGTGGTCTGGTGAGTGTCATTTCCCGAGTGCCCTTTTATTTATTTATTTATTGCCAGTGACCCTGACCACATAGTTTGATAGGCATAGCATTCTTCCCCGTGGGAAAGAGTTATAGATGGTTCCATTTCCTAGGCTATAGACAGGAATGGGGCTTTAAGTGGTTTTCACAGTAGGCTGGCTGTTAAAGGCCAACCTTTTTGGTAAATCAATGCTATGTTATGTTTTTGAAATACTAAGCAGCCATAATTATTGTCCCAAGACGGAGTACACAGTCCTGTCAGAGAGTATACGTAGCTGAGTGACAGATACGAATGTCTTTTGATTGACTCTGTATGGATTGATTTTTTTAGTTCCTTTTTCTAGGGCAAACAGTATGGTGGTGGTTTCTGTTCTGACCTGTTCTTCCTTGGAGTCAATTTATATATATAATCATTTCCAAAGGACTGTTTGGGCAACCAAAATCTAATTAAACATCATGGAGTTGGACTTGGCCTTCTTATGTTTTGACTCTCAGGCTTACTGTGTCCCAGACTATGAAGGCAAAACACTGTGTGTGTGTGTGCTGGGGGCCTCCTTCCATGCCGATGCCATTGCCTACTTGACCAGTGGTTCTGAAGATAATGCTGAAGTGCCCTTCTGCTCCCAGGGGCAGTAGGTCAGTGACTCTGTGCTCTGTCTCTTTCCACGTGAGGTCCTTTTAATGTAACTTTCCGTGGCAGAGTGAGGAGACAAGGCCAGGCAGGTTGGATGTTTTAAGACACCATGGTTGGTTTGTTTCATTACAAGGACAAGGAAGGGCTCCACAGGGGACTGGGATTGTTGGACTTAATCGACACTTGCAGACACCATTAGTATAAAGGGTTTAATGCTATTTTAAAAAATCCATTAAAACAACTTAAAGTTCTTAACCTATGGAAATGGCTGATGTTAATCATTTTGCAACACTTCTAAGTATCACAATAGGTTATCAGCAAAAAGGTTCCAAGGTTCACTTCCCTCCTTTGAACCAGGTAATTTTGCTTTCAGGTAAATTAAAATCAAAACTCTAAAAGTTGAGCAACTTTGTTTTTGAATTGACTTCGCTTCTAACCCTCTTGCATCTTAAGGATGGCATGATGTGATAATGATGGACTTGCGTGAGGTTTTGCTATTTCAATTAAACTTTCTTATCACATGAGGTAATTGTCAGCATTCTTGAGTCTGGTTATGGAATAGGCAGATAGAACCCTGGAGTAACAAGAGTTGGAAACTGGCTAATTGACAATGCAGTTGTCATTAAACATCTCAGGCAGAGAACTTTTACAATGGTGAGATGTACTTGAATTTCAAAACTTAACAGAAATTTTAATTACTTTTATTGAAAACTGCACTGAACGCTAAATGTCCACCTTTACAATAAACAAATACAGTAACGGTAACTCACACTAAAACAAAACATACTTCTGATAGCCATTGTTTTTTCTGTTTGGGACAGTTTTAAAGTTTTTCTTTTGTCACAAAAACAGGAATGTACCTATACAAAGGCTCAAAATAGGCCATCTTTTTAAACAGAAAGGCAATGATTCACAAAAGACTATGAATAGAACATGTAACTAGTTGATACAAATCTAATAGGATTTGTTAAAATCAGTCACATCTAATACATCTGAAGTGTTCTTGTATAAAATATCACGTGAAGAAAAGAAGACTTTATCAATGTCTAAAAAAGTGGGTTTGTTCATAGACAATCTGACAAGTTACCATAAAAAGTGTTTCCTGAGACATAAGGAAATGCAACATTATTCTTCTTGAACCCCTTTAGTTCAAGACTTTCCACTCAATAAAATAGCAGAGGATCTGAAACTGAGAAAATATATTTGAGTACAAACAGCTTGTGAAACTTAATACTTTCTTTTTTTTCTTTTCTTTTCTTTTTTTTTTGCATCATCAGAGGGTTTTACTGAACTTAACAACCAACTTGCCCGCTCAGTATGCAGTTCAAATGTGAGAGACACTTCTCTCTGTACAGGAACCTGCACTGTCTTCAATCCTATGTGTGCAGATGTCTAACACAGGCAAACAGTTTTCTCCCCGTTTTGTAGTAATGTAATCTTCCTATTAGCAAAAAGAGGTAACCAGCCCCTGTAGACTGAAGGGACTAGAGTCATAGGATGGGGATTTCCTCTTAACATTTTTTATTTTGATGTTTGGAACTCTTGATGCAACATTCTAGAGCAGGGTGATCAGCACCTGCCGTGCCCAAGGGACTGATAAAGGAAAAAGCTCTATTTATTCTTTGTGATTTGATGCACAGATGAAAAACTTAACACACAATAACAGAAGTTGGTCGTTAATAAATCACATCCTAGTCTTTCAGCGCTTCCGTAAGCAGACGACATCTTCAGTTTTCTAGCTCTTGTAGTTTTAACACTGCAACATCAATGATGCATATGTCCAGAATCAGATAAAAAGACTGTCAAATTCCTTTTCTCTTAGTACGTCTATTTTTCTTTCACTGTCTCTTGGTCCCAAGTTTATCTGAATGATTGATTACCTTCTGGCAATCTCTGCTATTGCTCGTTGGGGTGCTCTCGATTGTCCCCGTGTTTTGTGGGCTGGTTGGGAGAGGGAGCTTGGGAAGGGTGTGCCACTGTAGGGAGGTTGTGAGTCACTGGGATGCCTCCAGGGATGATCCCTTCCATGGCTGCAGGAAGTCCTCCCGGAGCCACGCCCACAATGCCTGGCGGATATCTAAGGAACAAACAGAAACAGGGCCTTGGAAGTCCCAGATGGAAGGTTGTCAAGCTGTTGGCTCTTTCCCTACTTCTGGGGCTGCATACGTTAATTCGTATAGGAGATAGCTTCTCGTGTATCCCCACATCAAGGAGAAACCTAAGCTTTATATAAAACATTGGCACCTACCTAATTCATTAAAAAGAAAAAACTAGTCCAGTCAAAACACTGGGCTGCTTAAAAGATTAAAAAGCCTTGCTTAGGGAAAAAACAAAAACAAACAAAAAAAACCTGACATTGGGCGGCAAATTTTGAAGGTTTTAGGCAACGGAGATATTTGCCCATGCTAATTTGAATGTAGATCTTGTTTGAAAAACAAATTTTGTACAATACAGACTCCAAGTTCTGTGGTTGCTTTGGGAAATGTTCATCAGTGCTGCCGGGAGCTGGAAACCCTGTGTTAGTGTGTGCAAAAACTTTCTTCTAAGATGCAAAGCTGCAGCTTCTATTTATTTTGGGAGAACCCAGTAATGGGGTGGGGGTGACACTCACACTACCTTTTATTCTGATACGGTGATTTCCTAATAGGACAGCATGATGTACTCTTGAGGGGGAAGTCCTCCCCTCTCCCAATTCACAGGATCAGATCCTCAAAACGGCTGGCAGTATTAGCAAGTGGGGCCTTTGGGATGTGATCAGCTCAGGAGGATGGCATCCTAGTGAACGGGATTTGCACCCTTACAAAAGGGAGCCCAGTGAGCTCTCTGGCTTTCTTCCTGTTACAGGGAGAAGTTGGTAGTCTGCCACCAGAAAGCGGGCCCGTTTTATAAGCCACCCAGTGTGTGCATTCTGTCACGGCAGCCAGAACTCACTAAGATGGTGGCTTTTTCCGCTGGCTAGCTGCGCACTCCAGGGCCTGAGATGGGCAAGGGGAGTGGACTGGTGTGCTGGCTGGCTCTGCCTACCTTCCTCTGGACGCCAACACCCGGCGCCTTTCACACTGCGGGAAAGGTGAAGACAGTCTGCATGTCAGCCATCACAGGACAGAAGGGCTCTTGGGTACCCGCAGGGCTTAGTGGATGTACACACACTTGAGGCAGGTGCTATGGAGTGAGTCTTACCTGCAGAGACCTCAAGCCCTTCAAAACCGAAGTCAAGCGGATGGTGCCTGACTGTGGAAACCACCCTGCCCTCAGCCCCTGGCTGCCACACTGTGAACGCCGGTCCCTTCATGCTACAGGTGTTACTCCCGGGGCCCAAGAGCCTTGAACTCTGAAGGAATCAATTAACAGCACCCTTAAGGGCTGGGGCGCCAACATCAATAACAAAGAGGATCTGGTTCTGTGATGCATTCAAGTAATGATTGAGAATAAACGCAAAAAGGATGGGACGTGATGCAACGTAAAGGCAGCCATGTGGCCTGAAAGCAACACCCTCACTTCTTCAGAGGCAGAGCCTCCACACAAACGACACTCAGTCAACCTGTGCCCCCTCTGGCTACAGCAGGAGACACGACACTCTCTGGAGACATTTTCAGTGTCCATATAAACGGAAGTGGATGGGAATGCAGGCCAGGGCCGCTGCTGCAGTGTACAGGCTAGGCCCTCTCCAAGAGAATGACCTGGCCCCAAACGTACTGCCGGGAGCTGGAAACCCTGGCTTAGGGTGTGCACAAACTTGCCTTCTAGGATTCACGGCTGCAGCTTCTATTTATTTTGGGGGAACCCAGTAATGGCATGGGGGGGGTGACACTCAAACTACCTTTTATTCTTAATAAATGAAGAAGATCATTATCCTTAGTTGATTGTACCATTTA